TCTTACGGTTTGGGATTCAGATAGCCCTATTTTTTCCTTTTGCTGAGGCATAGCCCAGCTCAGGCCCATGGCACACAGCAGCCAGCACAACAGGCTGCAGTGGGGCACGTGGCACAGAGCACCTCGTTGTCAAGAAACTGATTCTTTCCTCATTATATAACAATGCAAATGTGGCAATTTCCTCTCTGCTCCGGTTGTTACTCAATCTCCAATTAATTCAGAAATGGGCCAGCAGTAAATATGCAAGTGCTAGCACAGTTTAATACGAAGTCTGGTTTACTGTCAGGTCGCTATTTGAGATGCCTCTGATTAGGCACTGGCTTTCCCCTCAGCTGTTTAAATGTCACCGATGGAATCACAGAGGTGAAAAGGATCTAATCTCTTTCCCCCAACCCTCAACCTCTGCATCACAGGAACTTTGAAATGTGCATTTCTCCCTATTGTTCTTCAGCCTATTGTGGAAGTGCTGCAGTGACTAATTCTTGCATAAATCATTGCCATGACAACACCTGTAATATCTGCTGCCAAACAGCACCGAGGCGCTGAGGTTCCTCAGCTCAGCCAGGAGGATGGAGGGAGGCAGACGTGGCTGAAGCAGCCCCACCAGAGCACTGCTTGTGAGGAAAGGAGCAGCAAGCTTCTCCAAGCTGCCTTCTGTGCCAGTGCCCTCTGCTTTCCTGCACCCTTGGGTGAGCAGAGCTGTGTTGGAACAGCTGAGCTCTGTGCTCAGTGCCCACATCTTGGTGCCACGTGGGCTAAATGACAACACATTGATTCTCATTGGCTGGGAAGCAGGCAAAGTTGGGTGTTGTGTTTAATTAGAGACCTTCCAACACGAGCTTGTAAAGTGATCAGTAATTATTAGGGCTGCACAATCTTATTTTGGGTTCGCTGCACATCATCAGCAGGGCCATCACTGTGTGGTGGGGCAGCATCTTTTATGACAACCTGAAGCCAGCTCCGGTTTCATGGCAAAACACATCAAAACCCACTTTTCTCCTGTTCTTGCTAGCTCTTTATTCATTTTAGAAAGAAGGTCTGTGAAGGAGAAATGTAGCAGAGAGGTTACTGATTGCTATCTACAGCCTTGTTGCAAAGGAAAATTTACCATCACGGTGCAACACAGGAACAACTTGCATTAAATGAGTGTTGTCAGGAGGGCTGGATGAAAAACGAGGTGTGGCCTTTCACACCAATGTAAAATCCATTTGTCTGCGTAAGTCCATCCGCTGTTTTTCTTACAACTTATTCATCCCTGTTGTAGGTGAAATGTCCTGTGATGTGTGAAGATCTCAGTTACACCTCAGATCAAAAGCAAGGGAAGAGGGAATGCATAGAATAAGCGATCCCTGCAGTGACAGCACACCAGCTTTTCTTTGGAAGCTTCCTCCTATGGAGTGACCTTTCCTTTTTATCCACAGTCCTGGCTCCCGACCCGATTCTGTACTCCACAGTACCTCCTGTGGGCTCTGACATCTAAGCGTGGCAAAGTGCTGCTGTTCCAGTTTCTCTGCTTGCATTTAACAAACGGTGTGGGGAGCAGTGAGGAATGCTCCACGTTGTGTCTCAGTGCTTTGCTCCAGGGTCCCAATGTCCCAGGAGCTGCCAAGCACAGCTGCCCCACTCCCAGCTCGGGGTGCTGATGTGTTCCCCTGCGGTGGCCTTCGGAGATGCTGAACACAAATGGAGCTTTCTCTTCTGATTCCACATCTGGATTCTTGTTTTGATTCCTGTCCTAACAAGGACTGAGGGGAAGGGAGAGGTTTTAGTACCACGCATCAGCTTAGCCACAGCCAGAAGTCCTCAGGGAAGGAGAACAAACTGCTCTGCATGCTCAGCTGAGAGCTGCCCAGTGCCCAGTGACTGCAGTGCCTCCTTCTGCCCCTCCTCAGCTCCAGGATTCCCAGCACAAAGCCTTTTTGGTCCAACCAAGCAGATCTGGGCTGTTGCTGCAGTGAAATTTACTCACAGAGAAGTGCAGTTTGTGAATTTGGGTCAGATGCAGCAAACCATTTCTGCCAAAAAAACACAAAGCAAAAAAAGAAGAAGCCAACACAACCCTCTGCCTTTATTGCTTTTGCAGATAATCAGAGTAATTCATTTTGTACTTCTCAGGCAAAGTAAGAATTAACATTTTCTTTTCACTTTAGAATATCCCCCACTGAAAAGCACAGCTGAGCAGTGACATTTGCCCATGCAAACTCTCTTATTATCAAAACCCACTGCATTTCACAGGAAAATATCTGCACAACTGTGGGGCAGATGTGCACACGTTCACATTCCCCCCTTCTCGGAGCAGGCTGGCAGGTGTGAGGTGCTTTGTATGCACCGTTTGCTTGTTAATAAGACAAAAAGCCAGCAGATGGTGCTCAAGAATTCACACCCTGACTGCAGGAGGTGTTGTTTGCCGGAGCTCAGGTGCACACCTGAGTGGGAACGGAGCTCAGGATGTTTCCTAACCCAGGGGCTGAGGGCAGAAACCTTTCCTCCGCGGGGCTTGCTGCTGGCACTGCCCAGGCCTGCTGTGCCCTGTGCTGCGCTGAGGAATCGCTCCAGGTTTGCACGAGCAGCTCACAGCTCCCTTCTCCCTGTGCTGCAGCTTGGAGAGGCAGCCCAGCACCTGGTGGCATTTCCCATCCTGACAGCTCGTCTCCTTAAGATCTGTTGCCAGGCTGAGAAGTCTCTTTCTTTCTCTCATTTCCAGCACAAGGAGGGAGACGTGAGCCTCCTCCATCCGTTCCCTTAATGTGTGAATTAAGCTCAGTGGGGAAGGAAAGCCGTGCAAACATCTGTCCTGTTCCTTGTGCTGCAAGCTGCGCATGGATGCTGCAGCACTTTGAGCCCATGTGGGACACACGGGGCTGAAATCACTGTGCCTTCACGTAAAGCCTCTCATCTTGTGTTAGAATGAAGCCACTGTTCAAGTGCTTTATTTTTTTCCCATGCTCGCTTGCTTCCCAAACTGCCAACGCTCCATTTCTGCAGGCTGAAGGAAATCCCCTGCTGCACGCCCTGTGCTGGTGCTGTGATGTGCTGTGGGACATTCGATGTGTGCCATCAGCTCGTGGGGTGAGCTGCTGCGTGCTGCTGGGCACGTGCAGGTGTGTAAATGCACTGCAGGGGCTGGGCAAAAAGCTGTGCTCAGTGAGGGTGCGAAGGATTGTGAGGCTTTGCACGCACGTGTGAATGTGTGTGCAAAGGAAATGGGGGTGGAAATGGTCTCTGAGAGCTCTTGTAGAGGAAGAGGGAAGTCTCGTCCCTTCTGAGACAGTGCAGCACACAACGACTTGGGAGGGCTCTCAGAAAACTGGTTCTGGTGTTTTGTGCTTTGATTTGCTGCCTTTGTAGAGATCCAACCATTTAAGTGTGATAGCCTACTAGGCAGCAACTCTTGTGCTTAGTCCTGCCATTTTGGTTTGTATATCTCTTAACTGCATTCTCTGAGGGGAAATATTAACTTGTCTAGACCAAAGTACAGTATGTTGGCTAGTCCATCACCTGGGAGGGTTTGTGCTTTCCATCGGCAGCGCTCAGAGATGGACAGAGTGTGTGTGGCTTTAGAGAGGCTGTTAAAATTCATCCTTTGGGTTTCCAGCTGTCAGTGCCTTTAACAATGAGCCGAGGAGGCACAGATTTGGAAATGGCTGCTCCTACCAATTTCATCTCCTCCAGACAGTGATTGCCCAGAGTGCATTTCCCACGAGTGCACTGAATTACACGTCCAGTTCCCTTTTCCCTCGCTGGATGCTAAGCTCTATTGGAGGCTGAGCGAATTCTGCCCTGCTAGCACCTCTCTGCCTTGCGTGCTTCTGCTTTTCCTCTTTATCAATGGAATTTGCATCTCTCTCTTCAAACAAAGAGCATGGTGTGGTCTCCTGCCTCCTCCTAGAGCCTGCCAGCATAGATACAGCTCTTCCCATCAATGGAAAGCCAGGGTTCCTCAGCTCAGCAAAGAGCAGGGCTGAGCTGAGCTGGGCTGGGTGGGCTCCTGCCATACCCAATGATTGCAGGGGGGCTCTCAGCCATGGAGCTCACAGCCCTCCAGTCTCTGCTGGTGCATTCTGCTGCAGCAAAGTCTCTTGTCATTACTTTTATGGGAAGCTTTCGGCGGCCTCATTTGCTATTCATATACATCTGTTCCAGCGGAATCTGCCATTAATCTCCTGGTAGGTTTAAGGTTTCCCTTTTATATTCACTGCCTGGCCAGTCATCAGATAACTAAATGAATACCAATACAAAACAAAATAGAGGGTTCTAGGGTTGCCTGCTAATTGTTTACTCGATGAAATATAGATGATGCATCTTTCTTTCAGTTAAAAGAATAGTCCAGCCATGCAGTAGAGCCCAAAATGTGCAGGTGAGTGCATCCCTTCCAGTCTGACCAGTAAAGGCAAGAGAACTTTCTGCCCAGTTTAAAACTGGGGGTTGCTGACCTCCTGCCCCACCTGTGGGCAGACAGAACTGAGTCAGAAGCAGAGCTGAGGAAGGGCTGAAAGGAGCAGCCTGACCCCAGGCAGGGCTGACAGGGGGAGCTGCCTCTCCTACCCACTGCTGGTCCCACCAAGTCTTCCTGCTCTGCCCGAGCCAAGTCCCAGCCCTGCACAGCCCTCACACACGTCAAGAAAGACGAGGTGGGTGATGCTTCTGGAAAACAGACTGGCTATGGTTTGCCCTGAGCAGCCCCAGCTTTTCCAGTTATTGTTTCATCGTGAAGTACTATCCTCATCTTCTAGAAATGTGATGGCTATTAGCCAGGGCTGCAAGCAAAGCTGTAAATGTTCTGCTGGGACTGCAGCATATGGTTAGAAAGGGGCATTTTTAAGGCTCTTCCTGAAGTAAGATGGAAATTAAAACGATATTTTTGTCACAGGGCCAGACCCTGAGTAAGCGTAATTTGGCTCTGATGACTTCAGAGGAATTGTGCCAGTTTGTACAGCTGAAGATCCATCGATGATATTACAAAAAAAAAAACAAAAAAAAAAAAACCAACATTTATTCTTTGTCCTTGTTATCATCACAAATCCAGCAAGTAACAAAAACAAACCAGACCAGCACCGCAGTTACAAACCCAGCACACATGTAGACATTCAAAATGAACAAAAATGATCCTTTTAGCCATTTTTTTTTTTTTCTCTCCAGCCTTGAGGAGCTGCATTCCCACGTTCCCTTTTTAAACACAAGGGTGAGAAAGCCTTCAAGCTGCTTATTGGTCACAACGCTCTTCTTTCTCATGTGCTTGCAGATACGGTGAGCTCAGCTGGGCAGGCTTCAGTCAGACGTAGACAGAAAAAGCCATACACCCACACAGAAACCTTCTGCCCCTCTCTGTTCAGTTACATTTAATTTACAGCTCACCCCTAAACGGTGAATTTTAATACCATTTTCTTTCAAAAGTGTTACATATAAATTCACCATCCCCAGCGTAGAAGTGTCAGCTGGCACAGAAATCGTTATTGCTGGGCTGACGGCTGAAGACTGATACGTTTAAAGAGAAAATATATATTCGCTCCAAAGTGGAAACTCATATTGTAAATTCAATTTGTCAATAAATATGGAAATGGCTTCCATTTCCCTCTCCTCCTACTCTACGCTGCTGAGATTGGTCATTGTGGTACCGTGTCAGAAGTGCAGGAGGAATTACTGGGCCCCAGAGCCAAGAGAGATCTATTGTCACAGCCTCAGGTCAGTGAGTTAATTGTACATTCATCAGTGATAGCAACAATAGGAACAGAGTCTGGAAGGAGGTAATTAGATTTAAGAAGCTCAGAAAGGCTTTACGAACGACTTATCTTCCTAGAAATATGCAATGGGGTAAGTAAGCAATATGAGGAATGTCAGGCTTTGGTCCACACAAGTGCTTACACCAATGGTGAGCTTTAGGTGAAACTGTTCTCTGGTGCCCAGGAAAAAATGCCCATTTTGGTCTAAATGGTCTCTGATCTCCACTCCTGTGCTTCTGTCCCAAGGTGGAGAGTGTGTACATTAACGCAAAGCTGCAATCTGAACTGGGTGTAATGCAGGAAGAATTGTCATGCTTTGGGATTTTCCTGCCTGCAGGTGGACACTGAGGTGCTCACCCAGCCTCTGGTGTAGCAGCAATGCTGAGTCACAGCTTGAAGCAGTGATGGAGCAGCTGGTGGGAAGGCAGGGCCAACCCAAGGGAGCTCAGCTGCACGCAATGCAATGCAATGCAATGCAATGCCATGCCCATGAGGGGCCAGGAGGGATGGAGTCAGGATCCTCCCCTTCCCAGACTTCATTTAAGGGTTGTCAGTGGAGGTGAGGGGATCCTGTTGGACATCTCTGCATCCTTGAGGCCTTCTGAAGGAAAGCTGCTCTCTTCCTTTATTTCTGCACCCATGGCCAACAGCGTTTGAGCAAATCCTTGCTTGCCACAGCCTGGGACCTTGCTGTTCTGCTGTCATTGCTGTGATTTCTATTATGTTACACCTGGAGAAGTGGCTCCTTGCTGTGTCTAAACCAGCACAGCCCTGCTGGTCAACTTGGACCTACTCTGCCTTCTTTGAGCTTTTGGTTTGGGAGCTGAAATGTCTCTTGGATTAAAGATGTGAGTGTAAATATTGCTTGTATTGCTAGTTGAATTTAAAAGGGAAAGCAACAGAGGAGTGCAGGAAAAAGGCACGTTCCCAAGATATAAAGCTGAGTAATAAGGCATGCCTTAGACCTGCAGGTCCTCCCAGGGGGTCCAAACAAACTCAAAACTATCAAAGATATAATGAAAGCCCATCACTTTGATAAATGGAAAAATCACTTCTGCATCAGAATAGAAATATCATTTCATTTTGTCACCCTGCCATCATTAGCCTGGAGAGCAGGGATGCGAGCCTGGGATCCTTTTTGCCCTGCCTGGGAACTCACTGCAATCCCATCTCTCCTGACAGGGGTGGTTTAAGTTTTTGCTTTTAGTGAAGTTCAAAGGATTTTAATTTCTTGGTTCACTAAAGCCCCTGGCTTTATGTCTACCTGGCACAGTTGTCCTCCCACTTAATACAAGCCTGCGTTTATAAAGGTAAGTGGCAGAACATTTTTTATGGGATTCCATCATATTTGGGTGGTCCTTTTGTGATTGGAACGGCTCCAGGAGGCACCCCAGGCACCCGACAGCTCCCTGTATGTTCTGGGTTATGCTGTTTTTTGTAGATGAAAAACTTAACATGAGCCAGCAGTGTGCCCTTGCGGCTTGGAAGGCAAATGGGATCCTGGGCTCCATCAGAAGAGGGGTGGCCAGCAGGGACAGGGAGGTGATTGTTCCCCTCTACTCTGCTCTTGTGAGGCCCCATCTGCAGTACTGCGTCCAGGTCTGGAGCCCCCAGTACAAGAAAGACAGGGAGCTGTTGGAGAGGGTCCAGAGGAGCCACGAAGATGATCAGGGGACTGGAGCACCTCCCCTATGAGGACAGGCTGAGGGAGCTGGGCTTGTTCAGCCTGGAGAAAAGAAGGCTGCGGGGTGAATCATTGCAGCCTTTCAGTACCTAAAGGGAGCCTACAAACAGGAGGGGAATCAACTCTTTGAAAGGGTGAGTGACAGCAGGACAAGGGGAAATGGTTTTAAGTTGAGGGAGGGGAGATTTAGGTTGGACGTCAGGGGGAAATTCTTTATAGAGAGAGTGGTGAGGTGCTGGAACAGCTGCCCAGGGAGGTTGTGGATGCCCCGTCCCTGGAGGTGTTCAAGGCCAGGTTGGATGGGGCCCTGGGCAGCCTGGTCTAGCATTAGGTGGAATGGTTGGTGGCCCTGCGTGTGGCAGGGGGGTTGGAGATTCATGATCCTTGAGGTCCCTTCCAACCCTGGCAATTCTGTGATTCTGCGATTCTGTGATTCTGCACAGGGCCGGAGCCAAACCTTCTCCAGATCTCTGCAGGTAAGCTGACAAAAGTGGGACGCAGTCCGGTCTGGTGCAGTGTCACAGGGCAGGATGGATCTCTGGCCCACGCACTGCTCAGGTTGGTGAATGCTCAGAGCTGGAAGGAAGCAAGAGAGAGGAAGAGGCTGCATTCCTTGAGAGAATGGACTCCATTTCTCTTCCAGCCGGAATCCCTGGGTGTAAGCTGAGTTTCCTTTGCCTGCTTGAAAAGTTTGGGATTTTTTTCTTCTTAGGCTTCCAAGTGCACGGTTAAGTATAAAGAGCCACGTGCTGAAGTCCAGGCTTTGGCAGTGAGTTATTCACCCAGAGTTAAACCCAGGCTGCTGAGTTATGGACAGCTCTGCTTTATCAGAGAAGTGTCAGGCTTCCCCTTGCTGTGACTGCTATCAGTAATTAGCACACCCTACAGAGCCTGCTGCTGAACAGTCCACATGCTAAATGCTGCTTTGTCATCAAAGTACAGTAGCTTGTAACTAATTACATCCCAGCATTATCTGGACCAGTTCTTCCTTTTAAATACACTTAATAACTCTGCCTTTGAAGGTTCTAGGCATAAAAATAAGTACTTCAAATAATCTCCTAAAGACACACGCCACATTAGGTTTGGAGTTGAAGTAGGCACCTTGGATTATCTGTGTAAAACAAGAGCACGGGGCCCCTGCTGGGACAGGGATGGAGAGCTGCAGGTCAGGTGTAGGAGGGGAAGGCTGCAGAGCCAAAGTCTGTGTTTGACAGGAGTCTGTGTGTGTGCACTGTCATCAAAAACGCGAGGAAGGAAAAGTGCACCGTGCCAAAAAGAGCTGTGCTTTGACTCAGCAGTGATTGACCCTAATGGGAAAGCCAGCAATGTAAGGGCCAACAACCAGTGTTAGTCCTGAGTCCTCATCCTCAACCCAGGCACCATCCGTTTCTCTTCCTCAGTCGTGTTTAAACAGCAGCATCAGTTGTGCTGGGTTCACAGTGCTGTTCTCTGCCATCATCTCCCTGACCCTGTCAGTAGGAAGACCAAAGAAAACATTTTGTTTTCCTCGTTTTGGAGGTTCCTGTGGGATGGGAAACACCTTTACACTGAATGAGGGGCTGCTTAGCATGGCTTGGGAATCAGTGACAGGCACATGATTCACGGTGTCTATTAAATCAAGTCTTTGCTGGCTCACTTAGAGATCACTCACCACTCATTGAAGCCAATGCTATGAGATCTACCATAATAGGGTACTAAAATATCCTGTAAAGCTGCACTGACTTTTTTTTTTTTTTTGTGACTGCTGGGTATTTTTGGCGTGTGTTTATTATTATTACTTTGTTTCCTGTTGCACAGTGGGACCATAAACCAGTGATGCTGGGGACAGGTGGGAATGTGCCATTCTCTATCAGCAGTCTGCATCCCTGTGAGTTAGGAAATCCAAAAGCACTCCTGGTGAGCACTGGGGGGGAAGGGAGGAATGGGAGCTGCAGCTCCTCATCCATAAGCAAGCTGAACAAAAGGAGCAGCTGGAGCAGTGACATGTGGTGACTGCAAAGCACCAAGGAGGAAATCAACTTTAAGAGACAGCAGAAGGGGAATAGCTGGTGGTGCTTTTAAATTAAAGGCGTTAGGGGGATTCCTAGAGGGAAGAGGCTGGGAGTTTGGAAGGAATGCATCATGGTGAGGGTGACAGCACTTGTGAATCACCTGTGTTGTCTGGGTCTGTTAAAGCCATGTCTTACAACGCCCTCCAAAAGCAGACGGGATCACTCTGTTGGTTACAGCCTGCTTGTCTCATCTCAAGCAACCTTTAGCAGAGGAGGCTCTGGAGGCAAGATGAATATTTACAGCTCCAGCACTTCCCCTGTCTCCCCTCTAATTGCAGCTGAAGGTGTTTGTGTGGTCCTGTCTGGCACTCAGGCTGGTTCTTGTGATCAAGCAGCAGGTGAGCTTAATGCTGGTTTTGGTTGTTAAACTGACAGTGGTGTTTTCTTTCATTTGAAGCAAAAACACAAAGGATGGGAGAGTGATGTGCATGATGTAGAAGGAGAGCACGCAGAAGTCCAGAAGACTTTGACCTCGAGGGACTGGAATCTGTTTTCTGTTCAGGTTGCATAAATTCAAGATCAGCCCCAGAACTGAAGCAAATCTTCTGTTCTGTGAACTGGGAGCACCCTTAATAGAGCTGCTGTGGATTTATGCCTGGCCTGGCCCCGGGAGAGTCAATCTGGATTTGCATTTTAACTCAGCTCTGCCAGTCTGGAGTATCTCCAAGAGACTCCCTTGGCTTGCTGTGCAGTATTTTTTTTCAGCCATTTCAAGTGCAGTTGTTAATGGATGTCAATATGGAATATACTATGAGTAAATACAGTGCATGTGAAAGAAATCAGGAAGGAAGCACTAAGCACGCTTTCCCCTTAAGCTGTGCTGATGTCTGTGTCCTTGCAGCAGCTCCTGCTCTGTACCATCCCTCCCATTCCATTCCTGAGGTTACTTTGCTCAAGCCCATCCATCTTGGTCCCTTCTGTCTTTTATTCCTGGCTGTAAGGGTGACAAAGCCTTTGCTACAATCCTGTGCTAAAAGCTGACCGCATCTCACCAGCTTCCCACAGCAGCTTCCTCCCAAACGCTCCTCCATTCCTGAAGATCTGTGCTTTTCATCACAGGAGAAGGCAGCAACCAATATCTGCTTTCATCTTCACACGCAGACTTGACGACTTGCACAGTTTGCAACTTGCCACCCAAACAGATACTTTTTGTCAGTGCTTGCATATGGTCACTTATTATGTTGGGACACCGTTAATTATTTCAGACCGCTGTCTATCTGTCAGAGCACTGCATTGTCTGCTTGTTTAATCTACAGCAGCTTTTGTTTGCTTCAGAACAGTCGATATTTTTTTCCTACGCGTTTCCTTTTTCTTATCTCACCCACTGCTGAAGCTTTAATTTCTACACCAACTCCTCCCTCCCAGTCCCCCCCCTGCCCTCCCCCTTCTCGGAAGGACCATCCTCACATCCTGGGGCTGTGGGGCTGCTGCAGTGTTTGCAGGGCACTTTTAAGAGCTGCTGGAACGCTGAGGATCCTTATGGCTGCTATTAGAAACGGGGCCGTTTCTGCAGACAGGCAGGATTCGGGTCAGGAGAGCTTTGGCTTGGGTTGTATTCTCCAGGTGGCAGCTGCTATAAAGGAAACAGATGTTTTGTTACAGTTTCTGAGGAACTCTAATAATTTTGTTAGATGGAGGGGAGCAGGGGGCTAAGGTCAGCAGCAAGCTGCAATAGCCGGTGCTGCAGGACTGGTTTTAACATGAGAAAGATGATTGTTTATTAGTGCCAGGCAGAGCTGAGGAAAAGGCTTCAGGGGGAGAAAAAGCATTTGTGAGTATTGGCTTGCTATAAAAGGCACATGTGGACGTGGCTGGGTCTGCAGCTCTCTTATATCAGCTGCCCACGAAGCCTGAGCCCAGCGGATGTTTCTTTCCAGAGGTTTCTTGGAAAGAGAAGCATCCACACCTGGCTGAGCAGGGATGGAGGATGTCACGGTGCCAGGCAGTGGGCTCTGTGCTGTGATGCCACGAGCAGAAGGGCCGTGGGGGTTCCAACCTCCCCCATGCAGAGCAGCTCCTCCTCGTGTTGTCTTTGGGGCTGTCAAGCTGAGGGTCATCCCTCAGTTTCTACATCCCGCAGTAAACTGATGCTGTACAATGACAACAGAGCAGTGACACTGAAGGTGTGTAACCTGAACGATCCTTTGTTTGCAGAGCCAGGTTCTCAGCATGATTTCCTCATGTTTTCCTTCCAAAACACTTATGTCAAATCTGGGAAGTTTAACTTATCATTTGTGTACAGGTTTTGCTTAGCACAGGTCTTTATTTGCTGCTTTGATTCAGAGTTTGCAGTACAGCCTTCTGTACAGGGCATTAATTTTGTTTTTAACCAGCTTCTTTTATCCTTCAGACTTGAATGCCAGGCACTGAGTGCCAAACTGGGTGGCCACAGGCTGGGAATAGTCAGCAAGTGAGTTCAAAGGGAGTAAAAACATTTCATCTGTTCAAAGACAGCTCTAGTCCTGACTGCTCTCATAAAGACTAATAATATTTCATAGTAAAAGTTAGGGGAAAAAAAAAAAATCTTGTACAAACAGCATTTGAAAGCTTTGAGTTCAGCTTGCTGAGGAAGAAAACGGGGGGGGGGGAAAAGCATGGATGTGGTTTTTCTTGTGCAGTGATGGTGGTGTTTTCTGTCTCTCTGGAGCAATTGGTGTCATTGCTTCAGAGGTGAAAGGTGGGACCTTCTGGAGAGCAATGTGCTCATCTGTTTCCATGTTCCCTCTGCACTGGCCTCAGCTCCTTGCAGGGTGAATAGGACCAGTAACAGCAGAACAACCCGCTCAAACAGGTTTTGCTCCAGGTCTTTGTAATTAGAGTCTCTTCAGCAGTGAAACATGAGGTTTATTATCATGTCCGTAGTTCTGTTCTCATTCTCTCGGTGTGTGTTTAAAACCAGTTTGCTCTCTTTGTGCTTGGAAGGGCTGTGCCCCCTGCTGGGAGGCTTTGCATTGCAGAGCAGCACCAGGTAGCTGCTGTCTTGGGTGCTGTGACACAACTGGTGCTGCAATACAAGAACTAAGGCCAAGAGGTTCACAGCCCTCTAAGGGGCTTTGGGTTCTTATTCTTTATTCAAATACCTTCCACTGAACACCTGACCTGTGATACAGCTTCACAAGTCCGTGTGTTCTTAGCAGCTTTGCGTTCCATGAATTCTATCCAGCTGTTTCATGGGACCGTGACAACTTTGCATGCATAGCATCCCATGGCTTGCAGAACCTCAGTATACCTGAGTCTTCAGGCATCTTCAGTCCTTGATTTTGAGTCTGGGTGGGAACTGAGCAGCGGAGGAAAAGCTCCATCTGCTCCCTTTGTGATTCCAGGCTGCACAAAGCAGGGAGCAGCCCACAGCCTCTCAGGCTTTCCTTGCTGGAGGCACTTGGGCTGTGAGAGCAGCACTGCAGCCCTGAGTTGGGACAGGGGCAGCAGGGGATGAGTGTCCCCTTAATGGGCAGAGCAGAGCTCAGCAGCTGCAGTCACAGTCGGGCTGATCTCTGAGATAAATGTTATTTAAATTGCTGTATCTCGGCTGCTGTGGGAGCTGCACACCTCGGCTTAGCATGCTAAATATACTTTATTAATTGCCTTGCTCTTTGCATACACCGGAGGCTGGTTCATCATTAAATATACCAGGAACATTTATTCCTTGAGGTTTTGTTTCTTATTGAAGTATTCCAGTTCTTAATGGCTCCCTTGGATGGGATCAGGTTGGACCTGGAATATTGCTGCTTGTACTGCTTTCCCCTTCCTCACTGAAGCACAATAGTGGCTCACTGTCTGTATTTAAGCCTATACAAGGCAATGCTGTTAGACTGAAGGGGCAAATACCCTCTGATAGTGCTTAGTTCTATTTGTCTTTACTGCTGCTATCAAAAGGCTACAGCTGAGATTGCTCTTTGCATCATGCACAGGGATGGGCAGCCTCCCAAAGCACAGCTTGCAATTGCCAAGCAGGCAATCAGACAAGAGTTGGGGTGTAGCTCCTTTGCAGGTCAGAAACTGAGGCCCTTCTGCTCAGGGTAGCTTGCAAGGAACAGAGCACAGCATCCAATTTTTTTGCTAATTGCCTCTGTTGTGAAGTCTGAAGTAGCCATGCTGAAGTTGGGGCTTTCAGGCCCGCTGGTAATTGGCCCAAGAAGAGCATTTGGGGGTGGCAATCAGTCACACTGGAGACTGCATTGGGTTCTGACTGGAGAGTGTCTTTGGATACTTCAATGCTCTCCTTCTGGGCCAGCATGCATCCATAGGAGAGGACCAGAGGCTGTTTCCAAAGGGAAGAAGGGTGCTTCTTTTGCATTCTTTTAGAATTGCTACCCATGTGCTTATTGCCACAGAGAGGCAAAAGCTGAAAGAGCTTTGCTTTCTGTTGGGAGCAAATCTAACCTGGAAGACAACCTGGCTTTGCTCCATATCACCAGCTAGAAGCATTCTGGGGGCTGAGTTTGCTTCTCTTAAAGAGTAGGAAGAAAAACCTTCCCAGCTTCAGTAGTGTGGTTTTTTTTATGAGAGCTTTTTCCTTTTTTACAGCCTTATTTGTTGTTGTAGTAAAAGGTGGTGGAGCACCTTGCACAGCAGCATTAGTTACACGCTCCAGGTTAAGCCAGTGCCTCTGTTCCCTCCCAGTGCCGCAGTGCAGAGGTGGGGGAATGTGCTTTAGGGGTGTCAGGGGTGCTCAGTGAGGGCATCTCTTGGCAGTCCTGGGCCAGGCTCCTATCAGCCTCTTGAGCATCTTCGTTTGCAGAAGCTCAGCCCCTCGGTAGCCTTTAAACAACGGATTTCTTCAGGCAGTTTCTAGTCTGCTTCCTTCCCTGAGAGCATTTGTAAAGGAAAACAACAACAATCACCAGGCAACACATTATTACGTTATTATAGTTGAGAGTGGTTGAGGTGGGGAAAAGGAGGAGGAAAACCTTGCAAAATTCATTACAGCTTCAGCACTGCAGAACCTCACAGGACCCGGGATGCTGCAGCCTCAATTGGAGCTAATGGGCCCTTATTGCACAGGAGATGTCTTTGAGTCCATGCTCTGTGGGGCAGAGGTTTCCCCACCTGCTGCCTCGTGCAATGCATGGCACGTTTCACTTCTTGCATCAGTTGGATGCTGCACTGCTTTTGTTACTGCAGTTCCTTTGCGTTTAAACCTATTTTAGCCTAGATGCATTGTAAGCACAAGCGTAACTTCTCAACTGAAGGCGATGATTTAATTGTTTGATGCTATTTAGGCACATTACTTTGCTTTTCAAGCAGACAACTTCCATATTTCCCTAGTCTTTAGATAGGGAAGGAGATTTCTATCTATCCAAGGTATTTATAGAGCCCATTATCTTAGTGTCTGCTATCTGATGTGTTTATCCTTGCAATGCCTATTAGTTATTAGGCATGGTTGTTTTTCTGCTTTATAGGGTGTGAGGAGAGGGGAAGGTAAACGTACGCTGCTTAATGACTTCTTCAGCTGAGTGCTTAAGGTAGAACAAGGGACTCCAACCTGAAGCTTACAGGTTTTCTAGAACTCTCCATCTTCTATACAGAAGATATTAAAGGCTCAGCCCTGCCACAATATCTTCAAGAGCCGAGTGGCAGCAAAGAGCACATGTAGTCTATCTGGGGCTCCAGTCCAGCAGGTCTGGCCTTGCACAGAGGCTGCACGGCTGCTTCCATCCCATTCCACCCTTGCTGTGCTCCCTGGCTCAGAGCGCAGCTGTGGCAGACGCAGAGCTGGCCAGGGCTGATAGGTTTCAGTGTGGGCATTTCAGTTTTGCCCCTCGTGCTGGCTGTGCACTGCTGCCCTCCAGGCAGCCTGGATGATGGCCTCGGAACCGCGGGCAGAGCTGCTTACTGATAATGCCTTGCAATGGTCAGCAGTGCAGTGCCAGGGGTTGGGTAGGAAATGGAGCGTGAGCCAGGCTGAGCTGCCACTGCCTAATTAACTTCCACTGCAGGCTGCATTGTTATCTGTGTGCAAGCATGGTTTCATCCAGGTTTAAATTGATTACGAGTATCAGCGCAATGACAAAACACTGCTTTTGGGATCAGACTTTTCACAGTAAATGGTTATTTGTTTTTCGGCATGAAAATATTGGCTTATCCGGGGTGATACAATTCTTCCTCTCCCTCCTTCCACCTTCGTTACTGCCTGATTTGTGCGTGTAGTTTAATTAAAACCGCACAGTATTTCCACAACTTGGTGCGTCTCCGCTGCTAGGCGGGTGTTTGATTTATATACAGCATTCCAGTGAAACTGCCTGGAAAAATTAAATAGACATGAATCGACTTGCCGCAGGCTTTTGAAATCAAACATTTCACAGCTAACTCCCTGCGGACATCTCCTTTCAGCCCCATGCAGGATAAATGGGACCGTAAGCTACTATGCGCCGAGATGTGTTAAAATGTCGTCGTTAGGATTGGGCTTTATAATTGTAGCTGTTTGCCAAATGATAGCTTAGGAGCCAAGGACCACTTTGATTCATTACTTGTGATTATATGATTATTTAAAAAAAAAAAAAAAGGAAAATCTGCACTAGTTGGTCTGACTTCTATTTATTTTTTTTTTTTTGTCTTGGCCTTTGGAATGAATCTACACCTGTGGCCAAAGTCAGATGTTTGTAGGAACGGTTTTGGTATAACTGTGTTTGATGAAGCTGTTGTAAACGCTGCCTCTGCCGTGCTTTATCTGGAGGTGTAAGCTGTTAGCTCGTGGATGGATGCTTATTCTTAGCTGAGCTGCAGCTCTTTTCAGAGGCTGAGTACATCATAAACAAAGTCAACTCCTTATCTGGATCTCAGCTTTAGTCTTTATGAGCGTGGCTTAAAATAGACCTCGACGAGATGTTATGCAACAAAAGCCCCAAACCTGCCGTGTTGTTCTGCATTCACACATACAACCTGCTCAAGGCCAAGAACAAACATCCAGGAGAGATGCCTTCCAGTGAGGGGATCGAGGGCTGTGAGCCCCAACCCCTGCAGGCAGAGCCTGGGCTGCTCTCAGCAACAGCTCTGAATGTCTCTGAATATCCAGAGGTGCAAAGAGGAAAGAAAAGAAACCTCTTTGTGCCTCCAGGTTGCCTGTGGAGAGCCTCCAGTCCCCATGCACTGAGCTGTGGGTTCATTCTGAGCTGTTCTGTTAGTCATGCTGGAGCTTCCACAATGCCTCATCCTTCCTGCCCTCTGCTTGTGGGACTGAATCCGAAATTGCTAGCTTTGGGGAAGGCAAAATAAACCCACTGTGGGGAAGTGGGCTCAGCTGTGTCCTTTCAGTCATTTATATTAAGTCTTGGGCTCTAATAACCCAATCGTAATGATTTGGGGAAGAGAGAACGAATTTGTTTGTTGCCTTGTAGCCACAGGTGATAGCAAAGTGAGGACAGAAGAAATGAATCCTGCGTTCTGACTTGTTTTTCAAAAGATATGCAAATGGTTTCAGGAGGAAGGATCAAAAAACGCCGGTGATGAATGGATTGCAGAGAGTAAATGCAACGTGGTCCTTCTGGGAAGCACCGCTGGTTGGGCTCAGAAGTGCCACCGACTGCAGGATGCTGCAGGTCTGAATTTTCTTTATGGCCACCTATGGAAATATATTGGTCTCATAGGAGCTCGTGCACAGGAAGTTGGTAAAGCACCAAACCTGGTTGGTGGATGAGAGCTCCGGAAATCCTGCTGCCACGGAGAGAAGCTGTCATCTCGTGTTTGCGAGCGCTTTTCAATTTAATACATTTTAATCAGAAAATTAATCAGGAAACACCAGTTCAGCAAGATAATTGAACAATGAAGAGACATGATAATTACTGTTTAGTCTAATTAACTTTGTTAAGTCTTTATTGGGAACAGAGACTTCCTGAGTGAAACTTATTAAATGGTTCTCCCTAGAAAACAGAATCCGCAGCAAGAATCCTTTGTTGCTCGTCAGGAATTGGATGTGTGGCTTTAAATCACCATTGGGAATCCTGCAGGTGGGTTTAGATCCCCCTCGGGCTGATCTCAGTCCATCCCCACCTCCAGCTCACTGCCAGGCCAGTCCTGCCCCCAGCACAGTTTTTGCTTTCCTATCAGAGCATAGCATGAAATATTTATCATTTCAGAAAGGAGGATTATAAATAAATATTGAAATGAACTTTATTGGCTTTTGATCTGCTGGGAAAGCTCCTTGGCTGCCATCCATCGAGCAGTGACCCACAGGTACCCGCGTTATCTGTATGGGGTGAGGTCAGGAGGATGAGAGATGCAGAATATCGACCCTTTAGGAGAAGCGTGGAGGAATGTGATTTAATAGTCTGTGGCTCGAGGGGTTATCAGCTTGAGTCGGGAAGCTGTGAGCTGGAGGGATCTCAGCAGCTCTGCTCTTGCTCTTAGTTTTGTTGTGCCAAACCTGAGACATCCTCTAGTGGCTGTGGGATCTCTGGCCTGGAGATAGGAGTACCCCAGTGAGCGGTGGTCCTTTGGCTGTTTAAGGGGAAGCTGTGTGGTTTGATGTTAACTATTGCAAACCACAGAACTGCGGGGCTGTGCTCCCCTGCCTGCTGCCCCTGGGCCTACATGGCACCAGTGCTGTAGCTGGAATCCCATTCCCACAACACTCGTTTGATGTAAGACCCCAGGGATGGAGGCACGTCCCCTGATGGGGTTGTAGGCATGCAGGTGGGTCAGCCCTTCCCAAGACATTGCCTTGGTATCCCTTCAGACCTCCATGTTCTCAGTTAAGCTAGGGTGCAGGATGGCTCCCTCAAATCCCGTTATCTCCTCCAGTTCATTTGGGCAACGAACAGCTCCAGCATTTCGAATTCCTTGTCGGCGAATGGCATTGTAATTGCATTTCTAATTTATTTGGTCCGGTTTATAATTAAAACGAGCACTCTGACTTATCGCCGTCGGATGTTGCTCTTGGGTTTTCCTGCCCGTGTCGTGCTTTTAAGGCTGCAGAGCGGGCTGCGTTGTGCTCAGCCCCAAAGCACTAAGAAGACAACTTCATTACCCGTCTGTTTTTCTGGGTCACCCAGTGGCGGTCGCTGTTGTGTTCAGCCACGCTCTGAAGCACTGCATATTTCCACGACATGAAACGTGGGTCTGTTGGGAACGAGCATTCATGGGGAGTGCAGCCTAACAGCCTCGTGTGCTCGTTTATTTCCTTCTTCCCTTTCTCTTGCAGTTAATTATTTGGTAAACGCTACCGGTGAGCGTCGGATCAGTCCACCATCCTGGCAGCAGTTTGCCTTCCACCAGGGAGAAGCAGCTAATGGTGTTGCAAGGGAGCAACTCTTGAGAACCCTCCTGACTGAATTTTTTTTCCCCTCTCATCGTTTCCTGTGGTGTCATTTAGAAAACGAAATTGCCAGGACTTTAAAACACTTCCCTGGCTGATGGGGAGAGTTAATTATTGTTGAAGAGGGACAGCTGGGCAAGGCGAAAAGCTGGGAAATAATACAAGGAAAAACAGAGAAGTTGAGGTTTCAGAGGTGGATGAAACAGAAAGAAATGACACTTCCCATCAGTTAGGTACCTATAAGGAGCGATGCTTGCAGTGTCCAGGTGGAAGGAAGAATGCAATCCTGTTATCGTTCCCTTCCCTGCACCTCTCCCAGGTGTGAGGACAGGCCCTGCTCTCACAAACAGAGCGTTTTCCCCTGAAATCACAGAGCTGTGTGTCAGAGCACAGACACACGGCTGGCCTCCCTGTGCTGCTCAGAGCTGCAAACGCTTTTCCTGCTCGATGGGCAGCAGGCACAGTGTGCTGGAAGCACCACGCTGTTATCCACTGCCCTGCACGACAGCTTTCCCACAGCTCCTTGTGTTGCTTTTGTCATAAAGCTCCTGGTGCTGTGCCTGCAGCTCTCACCTACGTGTGTAATTCACTTCCCCAGAACAGGCAGGCTTCAGAATCCTAAATAAATGCTCGCCGGTCATTAAAGCCATATTTACAGGGACTTAACGGCTCTGTAATAGGCATAGAACTTGCTCTGCAGAATTGTCACTGCATAAATAGACCAGAATAAGCAGCTGGTGCTTAAAGGCTTTGTAATGTATGGAAAGCTGTAATTTCCTGATTAACAGTGGTTGATTGCGATTGTGTTGCAATATCTATTTCCTAGCGTCGTCAAAAACCTGACCCACCTCCAGAAATGCCGGATGAAATGGAAGTGCTGTTGGAGGTGAGGGTGACTGAGGAGTGCCGACCCCTGGTTTGGAATTGTTCTCCATGAGTTTTGGGTCTCTGGGCTGCGTGGGGCCAGCTGTGGTAGGGCTGCCTGCTCAATTCAGCGTGCAGCTCCCAGGTGAAGCTCTGCTCCTTATCGCTGAGAGCATCACATTGATGGGAAGCCAACAAAAGCCACTCTTCCTTGCAGATATTTACTGGTGGTGTATACTGGTGGTTAACATACTAATGGTACAGAACTCTTTCTAATTGCCAGAATGTCAGTAGGGTGTAGGTTTGCCTTTTGCATGAGCATCCCCTCACCCAAAGAGCATCCCTTAGCCCTTATTTTAAATAATGATGTGTTCCTGCTCAGGGAAAAAAAAAAAAAAAAGGAGTCAAGAATATAAATTAAGTCTTCAAATATATGTGCAGTTCTCTGTGACACAAACTTTGCTCTTGGGGTTTATGATGCTAATAAAATCCTACTCACTGCTAACAGCTCTTTCCTTCGTAGCCTCACAAACTGAGACAAATAAGTGCATGTATTGAAGGAGTTCACATTTTATGTCTCTTTGCATCAATGTGGCTCTGCTTTATTGACATTTTTAGGTAGAAACTGGCTAGTCATGCTTGGACTACATTAACTATTATTTATTGTTGGGGCTGAGTATCCAAGCCCTCCTTGTTCTGGGTGGTTGTACATACAAATCAGAACTGTTTGTATCCCAAAGAGCCTCTAAATATGATGAGAGGAAGAACTAAGTGAGATGGAAAGGCCAAAAGGCAGCGAGCCAGGCTGGGTAAGCAGCAGGAATGTGCAGAATGGGCACAGAGGTTCCTACATTAGAGCCTTCCCAGCATCATCAGTAATGGCCCCACGTCCCAAACCACCCACTCCATCAAGGCTTTGTGCCTCTGCTGAGGATCCAGATTCTCCTTTGCATACTTTTAGGTTTAAAGTGTCAGGTGCTTAGAAAGATAGTTATTTTATGTGATCAGCAATAATCCATTTTTTGTCATCCTTAGAATAAATCGCGTTAGGAGCTGCCTGAGCAGGGCAGTGTAAGTGCTTGGAGCCAGGATCCTGGAGACGTGCCACGCTGGCTCTGGCACCAACACAAATTAGAGAGCTACCATTCCTGGTGCAACATTTGTACTTCTGGTGCAAAATCTGGAGCAGCCAGGTTGGGAGACCACTGACAGTGAGCTGCTGCTGGCGCTCACTTGGGTACCAGACCAGACAGCTGGGCCAGCAGAGCAGCAGGGAGTTGAGCCCCACATCTTAGGGGATGTGGGTTTAAGGATGAGTGATATTAGAACAGATCTGCAGTAAAATCTGTGATCTCTGTCATGCGAGTTCTCTGTCTCAGACAGCTCCATTTGACCTGCTGGCATGTCGTAATGCTTTTCTCTCGTTTTCCACCCAGCTCCTTGCCAACTTGGAATAATGACAAATGGCTCCATCCATCCGGACGTTCATGTATGAAGCCACAGGGATGATGTGCAGCAGAAACACAATGCAGAAATCAACCCTCAGAATGCAATCAATGTTTGGGAAGATCTCACAGGTAAGTGGCTCGTGCCCTTCAAGGTATCCTGTGCATCACTGGCAGTGTGACTGTTAATGTGTTTGTCACAAAGATAAGGCAGAGTCAAAACCAGTCCCACTCTGGCTTTGCTGTGCTGCTCTGATGGGGACAGCTCTGCTCTGCTCATCCTGAGGGTTGGCTCCTGCCAGCAGAGCTGTGGCTGACCTGCAATATGCCAATTCCCTCTGCCTAGAAAATCTCAGTGCTTAATTTGCTCTCTTTTTAGGACCTGGGCTTGTTTCTTAAAATAGAGCTTTATTCTTCGCTTTCACGTTCTAAAGGACAATGACAAAAGAGGGAGAGTGAGGGAGAAAATGCAATAAACTGGGACATTTTGTTAACCACATTCACTGCACATCTGGGAGCTCTTTTGGTATATAATTGCTGTGTAATGCCATTCACAAGCCATAGCCTCACACATGTGAGAAGCTGGCATTGCAGTGATGTAGCCCATGTTTTGGAAATGGAATGTGACCTGTTGGTTGGATATATGGATCACAGAGTGGAAAACGCTTGGTTCCTTCTCTTTGCTCTATGGGATCCTGGTCATGCCATTGCTGTGCTAATTCTTCTAGCTCTACAAAGCCTCGTTGCTCCCAGGTTCACTGCTGAGCAGAGGGAATTGCACTGTTTAAGCCCCAATGATGCTTCCCTTCCTTTCCTTGGGATTGTATAGATCTTAGTCATCTAGTTAACTAATCCCAGAATGTTGGGGTCCTCATCCAAAAGGGATTACAGTCGTGCCAGTTCTGGAGATCACTGCATGCAGCATTGTTTCTCCTGACCAGCAGCTGGAAGATGTGGTGTATTTTGGACAAATGGTGTCTGATGATGCACGAATTCGAGTTCAAAACAAAGATAATTGGGTCTACCTCTACCACTTCTTAACTCGAATGCAGTGTCTGTCCGTGCCACGTGGAGATGATGATGAATTGCACTGAATCTGGAGCCATCAAATTTCCTGCCTGTCTTTCTTAACCTTGGGACAAATTAAATCAAATTCTACTGTGAAGCCTAAAGACATAAAATTTGTTAGCTGTAACAGTATATTCTGCCAAGCAATCAGAACTCCCCAGTATTAATTACCTTATTCAGTAAGTTAAACAAATGACGTGGATTCAAGGGGAAGCCACCCAGGAGTTCCTGCCAGTGAACATCCAAACTCCAGTTGCTAATTTGATGTGGGGAGCAATAATCTGTTCTAAAGCTGCCTCCGTTCCTGAGCAGTAACAAACCACGTGTGAGCATCTTTAATGGAACTGCTTCACAAGTGCCTGAAAGCAATAACTGCTCTGTGCTGGGTGCAGTGGCAGCTGGAGGGCCACCTATCTGTTGGCTTTCCTCTTGAAGGAGGTGCTCCTTCATCCCAGTCTGCACACTGCCTGTCTGTGCTCCCCATTGCAGTGAGCATCCCAGGGCTATGGCAGTCTCTGCTGGCATCTCATCTCCTGCAGAGCCACCGAGTGTGCAGGTTTGGGGGATCCCTGCTGCTGCTGGAAGTGAGCTGGAAATCCTCTGTGTGGATTTCTTTCTTTCATGGTCCAAGCTGGGAGTGTTGTTTTCCCCTGCAGAGAGAGCAGCCAAAGGGAGGCAGGGTCTGAAATGGCCACAGCTGTTGGTGAGGGCACTGCTTTGCCATGGCTGCTTCAGCAGAGGTAGCAGGGTGAAATTGGAAGTGGGACATCTGTGGTTTTAAGACCAGAAAAGACTGTGAGATGATATATTCTAACTGACCAAATGCCATTTGCTTACGTTGCTTCTGGTCACAGTAACTTCTGTGTGCAATGGGTATTTTTCTAAGAGATCCAGGTCTGTTTGGGAGGCACTCAGTGATGAAGAGTCTCCTGTTTCCAGACTGTTTGAATAATTAATCACCATTACTTAAAAGATGCTAGTCTCATTTTGCATTCCTATTTGTCTGGCTTTAATTCACATCAAGAGAGCCTCTCTGTGCTTGTCTCTCCCAGATTACAGCCCTCAGCATCTGATCTTTTCTTTCTGTGAAAGTGCTTTACATTGTAATCAAATTATCTTCAAATTTCTTCCTGATAAATTACAGAGATTTACTATGCAGAATGTGGGATTCCTCCATTCTTTATTGGGAGGCATTTGTTTCCCAGCTCCCATCTGCAGATCTGTGCCTGTAACCGTGCACAGACCCTGCAAATAGTTGGGGATGTTTCCATTCCCATGCTTGCTGAGATAACTCTGTTGTCCAACTTACTAAACCCAAAGCAAAGCTGTCAAAGATTTGTCATTATTATTCTTTAATGAAAGCCATATTAATATGTTTAAACATTTTGGGTAATTTTGGAAAAGATAAAGCATTAAAAAGCAGAAAAAGGAAGGAAGTTGGATGGGCAGGATGCTGCCTATTGCATTAAAACACTCAGTTTTTTAGCTTGCTCTGCCCTGAAAAACTTTGCACGCTTGCTGTAGTATTAAACTTAATTTATACTGCCAAAAAAAGAGGTGGGAGAGCTTAAAAGAAAGCAGCAGCTCAATCCTGGCAGATGCTGAGTGCTTTCTTGTGAAGTGCTGAGTTGGCAGAAGTTGCTGCTGAGCATCTCTGTGAGTGCTGCTCCCTCTTTATTGTCAGTCTGGTCTGCAGCTCTGGCCCTAAAGCAGCACGGGGGATTTTCAATAAAACGAAACTCATGTCCAAGTTTTAAGATACATGCATTTTACTCTACAGAGTCATTCCAGAGGGCAAAATGCTAATTTGTCATCAGTCCTATGGGAGGGGAGAAAGGATGTTCTGTGCAGCAATATAGAGCTCCTGCAGCCAGAGATGGGGCTTCTGGAGGAGTGCACACACCTTAAAGTCATCACTCAAATTGCTGCCATGTGTTCTGGCCTGGCAGCCCCTGGCCTTGTTTTTGATATGGGGCAGCTGACGGTGTCTGCTTAGAGGTTTTTGAAGCTGCAAAACTGTTGTGAAGGAGCCTAGGCTCAGAGTCAGCCCAGGAAGGCATAGGAGGGGGGTGTTGGGGTGTGCATAAGGCAGTGTGAAAGCAATGGTGGGAGGCTGGAGTCCTCCAGGGCCTCGGTTGCATCTCTGGGATTGTACAGAAAAGGGGAGATAACAACAGAAGTGACATGATAGATCCAAAGCTCTTCTGGGCAAAAACTGCCTGTTTCTTTGAGCATGACCCAGAACTTGTGTAACACAGCCCTGATCTTTGCCGTAAATCCTATCAATAGCTGTAATGAACAGCAGCAAACGTGGGAGCAGAGGTTGGAGTTGTCTGGTTATGTGACTCAGGTTTGCGGGTGCTTCACCACCCCAGGGTCACACGACACCAATGCAATCTCACTGCCCTGACTTCCAGCAGCTCTGCTCACGGTGGGAGCTGCAGGAGGGGCTGCAGCATCACTGAGTGCAATCACAACTGAGATGGGGTCTGATTCAGGGAAATAGCTTTCTTTTTAAACTAGCAACTTAGCGGTAAGTTGAGTCTTACAGAGTCCCACAGTCCTTCAAAAGGCACCACATGCCTATAAACAAGCACCCCCATCTCTCCAGCACACCATAAAATCTCTCCGTAACGACCATCATGACAACAATAAACTTGTTGTTACCATTCCCTGTGATTTATCAAGCTGGTGGAAAAGGTGGGGCTGCTATTTTATTGGGATGATGGAATGTTTGCAGAGGGAAAATACAATCTGCATTCTTCCAAGGCTACTTTTATACGTGGAATGATGAATACGTTTCTTTTCCCATTCCCACTTTAACACTGTAGGATGCAGAAACACCTCTTCAAAGTGAATTTTTTAGGAGCAGCATAAAGTTCTGTCTCCATAAGAGTGAATGAAAGAACTTGTGGAGCCTTGGGAAAGCAAACACTCAAGCCTTCCCCATATGGGGAATACCTGGGTTTGACTTTTCTTGGACAATTTTGATCATTTGAGTTGTCCTTCCTAATTGGGATGGAGCCACGTGGTGGGGAGTCAGAACCTTCTCCAGGCACCTCTGCCCTGCTGCCCATGTGCCATAGCAATGCCCAACTGGGTGAGCACAGCAGCCCTGCTGCATGCAGGGCAAGTGAGGGAAGGAGACTTTGGCCCAGAGAGAAAAGAGCTCGAAGGCAGACAAGTCCTTTGTGCCTCGCATGCACTGCTCAGCCAGGCACATGCAGAGCAGGTAGATGATGGATGGGGCAGTGTGAATCCCAGCCTTGCCTTATCTGCCCATTTCTCTGTGTTAAACACCTTTCATTGTTTTCTGCTGAGTTAAAAGTCTATGCAGGCACTCCAGAGATACCATATTTAACACCATATTTAATAGTTCCAAAAGTACGATCAAATACAATTAACAATAATAATTGGACTAACCAGTATGCTGTTGTAATTGACCTAAATGTTCCTTACTAATTAGGACTACTACAGTTCAGAAATCATTCACAAGCCACAAGTGTTTTATACTAGGAAAAACAAACTGGCCTCAATCTGTGACACATATTGCTGTGTTAACACAGTGATGCCCAAGAGAAGACTTTATCACACTTGTCAGCAGTTTCAGGCAATATCAGAGCAGGACAGGAGGAAAATGTTTCAGTGATCACAACAAAGGGGTCAGAAATTGATACCGTGAGCCAAACCTGTAGCTTGGCACGGATGGGGTCCCTACAGAATGGAACTGCTGGGATGTGCAATGCTGGCCATGCAACAGGACAGCAGGTCGCTCAGCCCCCTCCCCACAGCTGTGCCACCCCACAGCCAGCAGTCAGCTCCCCCAAAAACACAGCAGTCCCTTTCTTGCAAAGGAGAGATACCAGCTATGAGGAGAGCAGCCCACGCTCACACCCAGGCCTGTGGGAGGTGAAGCACTGTGGGTAGCAGGGCTCAAACTGCCAGCGATGCACAGAGGCTGACATTGCAGGGATATCAAAGGAGAGCAGCTAAAGGCCTTGGCAGTTGGTTGCCCAAAGCGACCGCAGCCGTGTGTCCTGCCCTGAAAGGTCTCATCAGCTCGACTCAAATGGCATCTGATCCTGACAAGTGAGGGAGAGAAAAAGAAGTGTCCTTGCTGGGAAATAATGAGAGGGCTGCAAGGAGAAAGGGAGCAGAGGAGAAGGGTCCTTGTGATCGTGATCCTCCTCTCCCACTTTCTGTCCAATTATACTGATTTGGGGGGATTAGAAAAACTGCTAGTTTGCAGCAGCACTGGTACTCCTCTGTGCCAGGCACTGGATAAATGCATGGGAGTAGAAAGTCCCCAAAGTAGCTGCTGAGCAACCAGCAAAAGCTTGACACAAGCCGCCAAGCGCTGATCCAGAATTAAAGTTAAGTTGCCATCTTTAGCACACAATCCCCCATGTGGATTCTGGGCAGTTCTTTTAATCCCTTTGTGCCTTAGTTCCCCAGGCTTAAAGCTTATTAGAGGCCGTTCAGGTGCAGCTGATGCTACATTAGGGGGAGTGGGGGTCTGTATACCACTGTATGGGAACAGACATGGCAGAGGTGGTGGCTGGAGCAGTGCCCAGCTGAAACACCACCAGGATGCCCCAGATTGCCATTCTCCTGTACAGCATTCAGCGTGACACTGCCTGCTGGCACTGCCCTGTGGCACAGAGCTGGTTAAAGGCTGAGCCCTCATACCATCCCCATGCACCTGTTGGACCGACCTGCAGGTACAGCCTGCAGGCAGGCATGCTGAGCTCCCTGGGTCTCCTTTCACCTCACAAGCACGCTTTTGTTTTTCACTTCCAGAGCCTTTTATAGGAGTTAGATCGGGCTGAAATGGAGATTTAAAGGGATGTGCACACAGGACGGCAGGTCAAGGCTTGGGGCACCCTCTCCCTTCCAGCCCAGGGCTTTGTTAAATCCCCTTCACATCTCTGCACACAGCTGAATAATGGGTATCTCTGCCACAGAAATATGTACTGCTCTCTCACTGCATTAAGCATTGGCTTCAAGTGAATTTCTCTCACAAGCAGAACTAATAAAAGGACTAAAAAGTGCCAGATTCCACTTGACAAATGGCTCAAAGGAGAACGTCTCCTAAATGCTTTTAGCATTTGCAGTGATTGATCAGGGCGGGCTTAGAAGCAGCTGACCTGTTGAGTTTTTTTCAGAGGGGAAATGATGGAAGGATGATAATGCTTTTTTCTTCTTGATCACTATAATTTTTGCTCTGCTGTAGATAATGTATCCAGTGTCCAGAAATCACCACCTGTGTTTTGGAACTGGCCCAGGAATACCATTTAAATCCATGCATAACAACTATACATCTATCTGTCAATTCACTATTAATACTGCAGCGTGCTGGGAATGAGATGACACGTGCTGTGGCAGTCGCTGTAGACAGACACAGACAGACAGTCCTGCCCCAAAGTGCTCCGTGGGTCACGCAGCAGCTCGGATCAGTCTGGCAGCAGCCTCTCCCAGCAAGGGTCTGCCTGCAGCCAGGCACTTAGTCTTCATTTGCACGGTGTCAGTCTCTGCTGCAGAAGCTCTGAAAGCCTTTGCTCAGGGATGAATGGATTTGAGCGTAGCTGGAGGAGGTAGGAGAGGGAGATGTGGGGCAAGGAGCCGTTCCTGCCTGGCACCCCCTGTGCCCATCTGGGGGCTGTGAATTGGGGGATTTGGTAAGAGCTGCTCAGCAGCAGCCTGCTGGAGCACTGCACCTGTGGAGCTGTAAAGGAGAGGCTGAGGAAACACGTCCTCCTTGTGATCTTGGGCAAATGACCTCCTTTTAAGAAAGTTATGGTTCTCTCAGTACTGAGCAGGGGAATAATGCTCCTCCTGTGAGTGCTGAGTGCTTTAAAATCCTGGGAAGTCGCTGTATTTCGAGGTGGTCTGTGCTTGCTTCCTGGCCAGATGAGGCAGGATAGCAGCTTCAGCTCTGCTCTGCTAACAGCTGCAGTCATCCCTCAGATTTTTCTCATCAAACACATTTTCAAGCTACGGTCACAGTTGTTTTCTCTTTCTCTAAATAAAGAAAAATAAAACCGAGTAATTAATTAAAAGGAGACATACTGTCACCACACTGGGACAGCTGTCCTTTTTGTGCTGAGGATTTCCAATGCTTTTTCTCCCT